ATTGGGGAAACATCCCATCAAAACTGCATGTTCTTCTCTTCTGTTATGCAGGAATTCTGTGCGAGATCCGGACTCATGATTCATCATGAGAAGTCTAAAGTCCTCTTCTCCAAGAATGTTCAGGCTCAGACCAGGGATAACCTAGGCTCCTTGTTATGCCTCCCACAAACCTCTTCCCTTGGTAAGTATCTTGCTGTACCCATTACTGCTAGGAAACTTAAGCAAGCTGATTGTAATTTTATCATGGATAAAGTTCGATCTAAGCTTGCCGGTTGGAAAGCTAAATTTTTCACTATGGCTGGTAGAACCACCTTTGTCAAATCTGTCCTTGCTACCATCCATAGTTATTACATGCAGTCCCAAATGCTCCCTACTTCCACTTTGAAAGATCTTGACAAAATCTCGTGCAACTTTCTTTAGGGCTCTACAGATAACCAACCTAGGTTGCATCTTGTTTCTTGGGATAAAATTACCCAACCTAAATCTTATGGCGGGTTGGGTATTAAAGCAGCTAAGGAAGCTGATTTGGCTACCATGTGCAAGCTTAATTGGCGTCTCCATACTGAAAAGCATGCCTTGTGGAACCGTGTGTTCTCTACCAAATACTGAATTAACAATTGCAGGTTCCAGTATCCAAATCACTGCTCCCTTGTCTTGCAGAACATTAAAAAAGGCAGCTCGTTATTTTTCAAAGGCCTTAAGTGGATCCCTAAAGATGACAGACTCATCTCCTTTTGGAATGACACTTGGTTTGGTCATAGGCCTCTTAGCTCCATTTTAAATGGTCCTCTGCTTGAAACTGACTCTTCTTTGCTTGTTTCTGATTGTTTTTCACAAGGTCAGAAGATCGACAGAGCTATTTCTTATGACTTGCCTCCTAATATTGTTCAGACCATCAAAGCTATCCCTTTGTCTTTGTTTGATTCTGGAGCTGATCAATTTGCATGGAAACCGAATGCTAATGGCTCTTTCTCTTCCTCCTCGGCTTATGGCCTTGCCAAGAAGACTTCCCTCAGCCCGGAGCAGAACTGATCTTGGATTTGGAAGGTCCACACCTTACCAAAAATCCAAAACTTCATCTAGTTGCTTTGCCATAATCGAATTAAGACCCTGGGGTATCTTAACAGTATTGGTATTATCAATTTCTCTATGTGTCCTCTCTGTTCTCTTAATTCTGAAACTGCAACTCACCTGATCAGGAATTGTCCTAGCTCTCGCGCTATCTGGGATGCGCTTTTTCCAGGATTGACTTCCCACCGGACCATGGATTCCCCCCTGGGTGAGTGGTTGCAGTTCAACTGTGGTAGGAAGGACAGCAGCTCCTTCTTATCTATTCCATGGGGTACCCTTTTCTCTTTTACTATTTGGACAATTTGGATTCAAAGGAATTGCAAGTTGTACAAACCTGAGGATTATAATTCCTCTACCAGTATTTCCATTATCAAGAACAAAGCAGCAGAATACTAGGCTTGCTGCTCCCCACCTCAGCATACTTGTCAGGCTATATCCATTACCGTCAAATGGACCAAGCCCCCCTCAGGGTTCATTAAACTTAACACCGATGGCTCCTTCATCAGCAAGTTTGGTATGGTTGCTTCGGGGGGTTTATTTAGGGACCATGAGGGAAAGTGGATGCTTGGCTATGCAAGGAATATCGGTCACACTTCTTGTTTGGCAACTGAGCTTTGGGCCATTCGGGATGGTCTTCAATTAGCTGTTGACAAAGGATTTAATCGATTATGCATTGAGACTTATTCTCTTACTGCCCTTAACCTCATTACCAAGGATTGTTATACTCACCACCCTCTTACTGCTCTCATTTTGGACTGCAGGGAACTGCTCAGTAGGATCCCTAACGGTGATATCCAGCATATCTTCAGAGAATCCAATATGTGTGCTGATTTTTTGTCTAAATTAAACCACTCCTTGTCTGTTAGTTTTACTATGTATGAGGATTGCCCCCAAGGCCTGGACGTTTACTTGGCTACTGATATGTATGGGATCGAATATCCTAGATATGTATTTTAGTTCCTTTGTTTAATACTACTTCCTATTTTCACCAAAAAGAAAAAAAAGAGTAAGTTTTTTTTGTTTTTGAACTCCTCCATGTGACCCAATAGATGAATCACGTTATTCTACGACTAGCAAGTGGAGTTCACCCACTTCCTTGGTTCGTATTCAAATCATAACCTCTACAGATATTAACTGTTAACCCAAATTCCCCTTTTTTTAAAAAAAAAGAGTAAGGTTTTTTATATTGAAATTATTTTTGTTTAATTATTTTTATTTTATAATTTAATATAATTTGAATTATAAAATATAAATTTTAATATTAAAAAATATTTATATGAGAAAAAGACAAATTAAAATATCCTAACATTCCCAAATTTCTAATCTAACAACGTTTGTTTCTTAAGACATAACGCTTTGATGCGCGACGGTCGGATTAAGAAGCTGCCAGGGCATAGTTTTTTTTGAGAGTTATCATATATATACATAATGAAGTTTGTTAGTTTGGTTTTTAGGTTGATAAATATTTTAAAATTATGATATTTTATTAAAGTACGGAGAGAAAAAATAAAACAAACTCAATTTTAATTAAAAAAATTATTTTAATATTTTTAAATAAAAATAATTAAAATAACATAATATTGTGTTTTTTTAATTTTTTAAAAATTCAACTAATAAATATATATGAAAAAAAATTAAATTGTCCTAATATTTTATTTTTAATAATATTACAAAATAAATATGATAAAGCGAGATTTATAATATATCTTATATATTGAATAACTATAATTAAATATTTTAATATTCTTAATATCAAATTAAAGTGTTTTAATTTTTCCATTTCTCAATTTATATATAAGTAAATTATTTTTCTTTAAATTTGAAAAAGGGATTGGAAGGAAAACTTCTTTTTTAACAAAGGAGTGTCTAACCAGCAGCTACTTTAAATATTTTTTAATAAAATTATTTATGTATTTTTATATATTAATATTAAAATAAAATAAAAATAAAAATGATATTTTAATATTTATTTTTTAATATATTTTTCAACTTGTAAAATTTTCTTATTATTTATTTTAAAAAGAAAAATTTCTCTATAATTATTTTTATATTAAGTTGTTTTGGACCCAATCGACCAAAGCCTTGAACTTGGCCTGATCCAGCCATTTCTTTTCAACGAACTGTATAGACGCCAACGGACCATACTCACAAAGAAATGGTAGCGGGCCAGCCTCTCGGGCCCAATAATGTCCAGATTTTTTTTTTTTTATGATTGGTATGAGGTATGACTACCTGCCTTTCGGCCTTAAACTCCAAAAAATTTCTTGAATCATTATTCTAACTGGTGGTGGGTTTATTGGCTTCTCATGTAAAACCAATATTCAGAACATTAAGGCTACATACATCGGTAGATAAAAATTATTTTATAAATCAGTTTTAGGGTTTAAGTTTAAGTGTTAAGATTAAGTTTTAAGATTAATATTTAAAAAAAGAAATTTTTAACTTGGTAACTTTAAGAGCCGTTTAATATAATTGTTAAAATTTAGTAAATAACGAGTAATGAGTAGCGAATAGCAGATAGTGATAATAGATAGCGGGTAACGATTAGTGGATATCGGGTGATGAATAATAGAAAGTTAGTAGCGGATAATAGATAACGGATTCGATTAATATAACTATTTGGGTTTATAATAATTAACTGTTATTGTTTGAAATTAAATAATTGATAAGGACATATTTAAAAACAATTGAGTAAATTTTTTTCTTTTTATATTTTATATTATTAAAATTATGAATTTTATAAAAATAATAAGAGAAAAGGAAAGATTAAAATGTCTTGATATTAAAAGCATTAGTGGTTACTCAATAATTATCTCTTTTCGTTGGAAGTAAGAGATTTTGAGTTTAAATCACATGGCATGAAGGTAGGGTGGGATAAGCAACAAAAGATAATTGCATCCCATTGTACAACCAAAATAGAAAAAAAAGTATCAAAACATTCAATAATAACTACATGATATGTAGGGCATGATATATGTCTTAATTTTATTAAATTCATCATGTGATTATTATTGGATGTTTTTGACACTTTTAATGATAAGACGTCTTGATTTTTTCTTTTCCCAAATAATAATATAAATAAATAAATAAATAATAGTATAAACATACACTAATTTTGGGACAGCAAAACAAAAAAAAATAATCATACATTGATTTTTATTTTCTTTAATAAAGAAAAAATTATATTAGTTTTAAATAAAGTAAAAAAAATAATCTTTTTATCTAATTAGTAAATTTTATCTATTAAGCTAATATATATTTTTATATTAAATTAATGTAAAAAAATATAATAATTATTTAAAATTATTAAAGACAAAAAATAAAAGGTTTAAAGCCAACTGTCGTCCCTCTACTTTAATATTTTATTCGTTCTTGTCCCTCTACTAAGGTCATGTTCGTTGTCGTCCCTCTACTCTCCAAAGAGCCAAAATGTCGTCCCTCTACTTGGCTTTTTTTGTTCGTTGTCAGTCCCTCCACTAACACCGTCCATGTTGCCGTCACTGCTGACCGTTAAGTGCCAAACGGTCAGCAGTTAAACCCATCTCTCTTTTTT